CCCCCCCCCCCCCGCCTCCTCCAGATATGACTATATTTCGTAACTCTATATATGTCTCTTTGATTGATATCAATGTCTCCGTTTCTCAATTATTCACTTTCCGTGACAGAGATGAGATTCAATGGGGTCATCTTGAGCTGTGAATGGTCGGCTCGGATGGCGGATTTGAGCGAGGTGATCGGGATGGGCTGATTGCTTAAGGAAATGATAGCAAAAGATGATGCACATGGATATCGATATATTCTATGCCAAGCGACTGTGTGAGTCTTACACATCCCAGAATATGATATGAGGCCTACTTGGTTTCTCATCAGTATGACTGATATCGCCTTCTTGCTTGGACATGAATTCGCCGTCACAAAACATCAACGTAGAAGGCTGCTTCCTTGGGTTTGCATTTTTTTTGAAACGCCCCGGTCATCGCCTGAATCTTTAAAATTGCCTCCCCTATCTTCCATGCATTTGACATAGCCTACTTTTCTGGTGGGTTTGGCATTTTTAAAGAAAGAATGGCCCGAAAGAGAGGAGCCTTCTACGGGTGATCGCGGTGCAAAGTTTACCACAAATTTTCTTTTGAACTGTAAACGTTTCAATGTAAACGTTGGAGACGTTGTAAACGCGCGCAGTTAAGGAGGTACATTGGGCACGTGCATGCGTATGTACACGACTGGCTGACCACCCCACGCCAGCCCACGCACAGATGGACGTCCAGACAGATAGATCGAGCGGGAACACGACTCATGGTTGCATGTTGATGGACATGACTGTGCTATACACTTCTTCCCGCCCGACGGGTACTTTAGGTGAAAATAGCGAGTAGGCAGTAGTGTATGGTGATTGGACGCGAGTCAGTCAGCTACGAGTGGGCGAACCGGGGAGGCACTTTTCTCAGGCCACCCCGGTGCTGCCGTGTGTACTTTAGCACGGGTGCACGTTTGTGTGGGACCATTACATTGAGGATGCACGTTTGTGTGGGACCATTACATGAAGACCAAATTGAATTATTCCTGCCGATGTCCAGTCCATGCCCAGCTGGACAAGAGTGTTCTGTGTCTTAACTCACATCCACCGTACACGCGCACACCATGTCTCCGGGGACACGCACTGTCACTGTGTTGAGGAATCCCACAGAAAGTCCCCACACGACTTGGGATTCATATGCCTATCTGGGAAGCTCTACCGACATCGAAGGAATCCTCTCTGCCTGGGAGTCCCACCATGCTTTAGGGCTCCTTATCGGCCGCCTGGGAATCCTCTTTGGACCTGGGAGTCCCATCACGCATAAGGCCTCCTTACTGGCTCCCTGGGACTGGGAATTCCTTTCTCTGGGAACGCCCTGGGAAAGAGGCTGGGATTCCTAATTGTGGCGAAGCGCAGTTGGGTGGTGATGATGACGGAATACCGCGAGACGCTTCTCCTCGTCTTTGTTGGGGTCCAAGGGTGTTTGGGTTTCTTATCTGACAGTATGCCACATCTGGAGGTGTTAAACGGCAGCATCGAGGTCATATCGGAGGTGCCTTTTGGCGGCCCGCGACGCGGCATTGTCTTTCTCGCGCACGGGTGTCATCATTCCGCCACGGACTTCTGGCCACACTCGCAACACTGCATCAAATGTCTCGGACTGGCGGAACAAAGGCGGATGGTGACGGAGTTGTTGAGCGAGGGGTACGGAGTGGTTGCTGTCAGCAGCGCCAATCGGCGGAGGATGTGCTGGAGCCCCACAGCCGACCGGAAGAGGGTGCTCGAGGCCCTGCAGATACTCAGGCGGCGCGAAGGATGGGAGTCTCTTCCCCTGTTTGCTATTGGTTCGTCGAGTGGCGGTCGTCTAATAGGCTCACTCGTCTCTGAGCAGTCGCTCAAATTCGATGCGGTGGCAATCCAGGGTATGGCGATTGCGCTCAGGAGTGGGGTAGATTCTTTTCCGCCGGCGCTCTTTGTTACCATGGCGAAGGACAGGCGTACCACAAGTGAGGGAGGCAGGGTGTGCTGGCAATATATAGATGCATGTCTCAGGGCTTGTTCGCGCCCTTGTGACCCGTCTGCGTGAGCATGAGCGGCCTGCCCTCCTGTTGGCGGTCGGCCCCGTCCCCATCCAGGTGTTCGGAATTCAATTAGAGGGGATCTTTTGACATCTCCCTTTGTTTTTTTAATTTGCAGCCATCGTTCTTTTCCGATCGCATCGAAGAGGTCCAACTAGGCTCCTCCCGAAGAGCTTATCATTACATGTGCGTACGCGTAGGTAGATGAGGAGTTGTCTTCGAGACTCCACAAGGCGTTGCTTGAAAAGAAACTAATAGACGGAAAGGGTTGGCTGAGACACAACCCCAGGGACAGCCAGTGAGGCAGAGAGAGGGTGGCACCTCTCATGACAGCTGTTCTCTTTCTTAGGCGCTGCCCTTGGCGAGAAGCCTTTTCTCTAATCCCTGAGCTGAAGAAGCACGGCCTTTCTCTCACCGTACGACTGTACATCACAATACAATACAAATTCACTTCTATGGCGCGTGGATCATCCTTGTTTGTCCCTAGCAGGCTGACAGATCGAGCATATCGGAGGAGCTCAACGTCGCATGGGCCAGCCACGAGCTGACGGCAGACTTCACGAAGGAAATTCTTGATTGGTGAGACGCATGTGCGACAAAAAGCGTGTCTCTGTATCGCTTCCCACCCAGGTTTGCATGTCGTGGCGACTTGAGCAAGCTGAAGGAACAAGAGGATGGTAGCAAGCGGCCCAACATTCGATCGAGCCCAGCTTCAGCCACTACGATCCACACGGAGGCGACGACGATGGTGCTGGTCGGCACACACAGCCCCATGATGCACTTCACAGCGGCCTGAAGAATGAGCCGGCAAATCCATGTCCACCAATGGCATCCAGCCAGCGGTCGACTGAGTCAAAAACGTCAAATGAATGACAGTGGGTGGGTGTCCGACGGCATTAAAGAATAACAACGATCGAATGTTTGTTGAAGACAAGAAGGGAATCGAGAAGCTTTTCTCTAGTATCTACAAGCAGTGTGATGCAAGGCTGGCTGGTCGGTTGTGTTCACCCGTGGATCGCGCCTCTATCTACACCCTTCTCTCGACCATCTACCATCTACACAGTGGCCACAGACCTCGACAATTATAGGCCTTTACACTACGACTAGTACATCCTGTCGACTAGTGCATCGAGTGTACATTTCCCCACGGACGATGCATTGTGAGTCATCAGTACTCTATCGACCCCTTTTGGTCGATCGCTACAGATACAAATGAATGGACGCACATCGACACAGACAAACACACAAATTAAATGGCAACCGATAAAGAGGCGACGGACTCAACAAAACCCAATCGCGTTGAGTCGGGGGTTTAGGGATGGCTGTTGATCATTGGTAACCATCCCTTTTCCATGACGAATGTCTCGCCCTCCCTTTTCCATGAGGACGGCCCCCTCTGCCCCGCCCCGCACCACACCCACTGCTGAATGAGGTGGTATTTAGGTTCTCAATCAGCGACTCGTTAAGTAACTCGGGAATCGGTCTGACTCTCTCGAGTCCTGTATCTGTGGTGTGGTTACGCCCCCCCACCACCAAATTTTTCCGACGTGTCTCTGCGTTATCATGACGGACCGATGCGTGATTAACCTGGACATATCAATGCATCTGTTGCGTTGGTATTGGCTCTTTCACTTTATCGTGTCTCGATGTCTCAACGCATACGTACGTCTGCCTTCGCGGCTGTCTCTCATTTGTACAAGTGCTTCTCTACTTGGCAAATCAAGAGGGTGGCCCGACGGGCAGCTCTGACGACGCGCCCTCTGATGCGCCAGCACCACTGCTGCTCGCCTCGGTGGATGGCTGCTGAGCCTCCTCCGTCGCGCCACCCGTCACCTCCCTCGATGTGTCTACCCCCTCTGCACCGCCCCGCACCACCCCGCCCCGCTGCAGAATGAGGTGGTATTTTTTGAATGAGGTGGTTTTCTGTGTTCAATCGGCGACTCGTTGAAGTAACTCGGTGGGTGACCGGTCTGGCCAAAGCAATCTCACCGAGCATCTAATCTCATAAGCCCACACTCTCTCAACGTATTCTTCTCCTGTCTCGAGTCACCGGCCGCCTTCTTTAAAGCCTCTGTCGGTCGGCCCGCACTGCAGAAGTGACATGTTCTACACATTGCCGGTGCAGACAGATAGACAAAGGTGGAAGAAAAAGAGAGGTCAAACAGAAAGAGGAAGGGAAAAGAGGGTATGTGTACGCACACATTTTCTGCTCTGACGCAGTCGCAAGCCGCTCACATCAATCAATAGAGTCGCGTCTCTGCGCTGCTTTGCCGCTCACTGACATACCACCCCACGCACACAACCATATCGGTCCAATGTCCACTGTGCCTCCATTCACTTATCCCCCAGTGCCGATTTTGGGTCTGTGCGCGACGTGTGACGTGTATGTAGAGGCAAATGGATTGTGTGCAGGCAGAGGACATTGGGGCACGCACTGTTCCAGGAGAATCTCTTTCTGCTCCTTTGCCTGTTTCCTCCCCCGCCGCGAGCATGTCATCTTGTAATTGTAAGGGTCATGTATGTACGCGAATCCATCAACCCACGCGACGACAGACACGGATACAATTCCATGCATGCAAATCACACAAAAGCGGTGCAAGTCAACTCATTCGAAGGTAGTCCTTTCTTTATTCGCTTTGCTCTGCTCTGCTAAGTCAGTGGAAACTGACCGACCGACAGACGTCCCTCCCAATCAGCAATTCAAACCATCCATCCAAACGCAAGACACGTGCACACCACACCCACCTCTCTGTGGCGGCGTGGATGGATGTCGTGTCCGCAGCCAAGACACTGAGCAACCCGCCCTTTATGTAAACAGCCCGAGTGAGTACACACCATCCATCTACTTTCCATGTCTGTCTGTCTGCTTGTCTGTCTGTCTGTCTGTCTGTCTGTCAGCACAGACAATCCCCTGCGTCCTCCGGACTACCCCCGCTGATTCTGCTGTTGTTGCTGTTGCTGCTGTTGTTGCTGCTGCTGCTGTTGTTGTCTGAGAGCGGCCATGTGTGCTTCCGTGAGCACTCCATATTGGCCACTTCTCGCCTGTGCAGCAGCAGCCTGTGCCGCAGCAGCTGCAGCAGCAGCAGAGGTGTACGTGGCGGGGTCGAAGGCCTGCCTCTCCTTCTTTTGTCGACCGCTCTTGCGGCTCGCCGTCTCATCCTCCTCCGAGTCACCGCTGATGTCCATGCCCGCAGCCGAAGGAAGGGGCGGTTGCAGCAGACGCGAATTGTAGGGAGGGGCCAACGGGGGCACCGCCGTGTGCCGCATGGTGGTCATTCCTGGAGGGAGTTTTTGCGGTGGGTGGGGTGGGCGTGGTGCAGGTGGGACGGCTGCCTGTGGGGCGGGAACGCCAGTTGCGGGGCCGCCAAAGGCCACTGTGCCAGGCTTGGGGAAGGTGGGGGGGACGGGTGGCTGTGACTGAGCGATGCTGCCGCGGATGCCTGGCGGCCACTGCTGGCGTGCCGGAGGGGCCGTAGCTGGTGCGGCAACAGGGAGGCCACCGGCCGCAGGCGCCACGACATCTGACAGACAGAAACAACCGCACGGGCAATCGTGGATGCGGTAGGGATCTCATAGTTGCTCATTCTCTCACTCACTCACCGGCTTCATCGGCCATGTCTTGGTCTGGGTCGTCCTCTTGGTCGGATGTCTTCTGTTTGGTCTTGCGTCGCCTCTTCACCGGTTTGGGGTGGAAGTCACCATCTTCCTTCTTCCTTCGGCCGCGGCCCTTGGCCTTGCCTCGGCGCCTGGTGGTGTGGCCAGACACCGACTCGTCCAGCAGCATCTCGTCGATGTAATACATGTCGAGATCCATCCGCAACTCACTAGACAGATCACCACCACCCTGCATGTCCTCGCCCCCCGAGACTCGCCCTGACCAAATTCAATCGATGCAAGAGAAAGGGGGCCTGTGATGTGTCATGCTGTGTCGTAATGGAGGGAGGTGAGGGTCCTGACCTCTGCCGGACTTTTTGCCCCTCCGTCTGCTCTTGGGAAGGGCGTTTCCGAATTCGTCGTATCCCTCGTACTTGAGGGCAATGCTGTCCTTGAACGTACCGGTGAACTTGCCTGATGCACCGCACCCACAGACGAATGGACGAACGCCCTCACTCATTCTCTGTCCATAGATCCATCCGTGCATTTATTTGGCCTACCCTTGCGGCTGCTCCGGCGAGAGCCCCCCTCGTCCCCAGCCTAAACAAACAGACAGACACGTACGTATCGATGTGCGAACAAAGCTTGAATGCGTATGTGAAGGGTAATAGGTGTGGCGTGGCGTGGTTGACCTTGCTCTCCTGGTCGTCAGTATGTGCGGCCCCGACTGCGCTCTCAGCGTCGCCGTCGTACTCCTTCAGGGCCTTGATGGTCTCGAGCACGTGCTCGTGCCACTCCTTGGCCTGACTCAACCAACACGCACAGACAAATAGAAGAAGAGCCTCCCGTCTGTCTGTTTGTCGTGCGATGCCCACCTGTTTGCGTTCGTCGTCCTTGAATTGTGGGTGGTCCTTGACCTTCTCAAGCGTGTTGAGGAGATCGTCATTCCCACTGCCCCCGGCCTGACATACGCACACACGAAACATGTATGTACACGTGAATGAATCCATCCACCCTTCAATCTCCGTCATCGCCGTTCGCACCGAGCATCCGTGTACGGCTTCCTCGATTTCCATCAGGAATTTGTGTCTGCTGTGGTCGGTGTCGTATGCCGTGCCGTCGTTGAGGCGGCTCATGAACCAGTCGGCCTCGCGACTCATGACCTTCTGCCAAAACTCGGGGTCGTTGAACTCCAAATCCGTCGCCAACTGGGGGATGCACACAGGAAAAACACACAGACCCGAGTGAAGAGTCAGGTCGTTGTGGATCTTGTCAATGGACTGCATACGTTGGGGCGGAAGGACGTCTTAGCAAACGTGGAGCCAGCGCGCCCAGTCATAGCATAGCTGAGCACACAGACATAGACGCGCACACATGGAGAGAAAAAGGACACGGACAAAGATGATAGGCCACCGTCTGTCCGTCCGTGTGCGGTTCTCTTCCCAAATGTTTGTGCGTACTCTACGTACCGGAAGAGGCGGCTATTCTTATTGAGAATGTCCTCTATGTTTGACTCGAGGAAGGCCTTGCTGGCCTCGGCGTTCTTCTCACTCAGGTAAAAGGCACCGTGCTTCAACAAGTCCTCAATCTCCTCCTTCGTGGGCGCCTGACCGATTGAACGACAATATAAAGGCACATGCACCCATGTGCACACGCAAAGTATGCACGTATGTATGCATGTACGTATTTGCATTTATCCATCCATCCATCCATCATCCATTTGCCGCTCATCTGTCTGTCTGTGCCCTTGCCCGTTCCCCCACCTCTGCGAGTGCCTCCTCGACTTTCTCCCGTTGGCTGGCGTCAGCAAATGCGCCTCGGTGAAAGACGGCTGTGTTGAGGCCCAGCTTCTTGGACGCACGCTCAAACATCTGCGATTCGTACGTACGCGCCGTCACCAATCGGTACACCTTCACCTCACGATCCTACACACAAACAAATAAGGGGGAGGGAGGGAGGGAGGGAGGGGGCAATGGGACAAACAGCCGCTCTGTACAAGGCCTGGTGTTCTGGCTTGTTGTGTGTGCATGAGTACATCCGTTATCCGTGCTTGTGGATGGTCTGTCGTTGGCTGACCTGGCCGATTCTGTGAGCCCTTGCGCACGCCTGCACGTCGTTTTGGGGGTTCCAGTCGCTGTCGAAGATGACGACCGTGTCAGCCGACGTCAAATTGATCCCCAGACCACCTGGCATACACACATACCCATACATGGTGAGCAACCAGGGCGTGCGTCGCAACCACGCGCATCCGCGTCAATCCCGTACTGACCAGCTCTGGTTGAGAGCAGGAACACGAATCGGTCTTGCTCGGGGTCGTTGAAGCGGTCAATGGCCGACTGACGGGTGGCACCGCGAATTGCACCGTCCAGCCGCTCGTACTTGTATCCTCTGAATGATGGATAGCACAAAGAGCCAGAGGTGGTTGCTTCCGCCACTCCTTCGGTGTGGATGTTGTGGTGGGTGGTTTACTTGACGTCTAGGAAGCTCTGCAGTATGTCGAGCATCGACACAAACTGGGAGAATACCAACACCTTGTGGCTCTCCGACTGAACAGCGGACGAACGAACCAACATCCAACCGACTTGCAGTCAGTGCAATGCCCGTTTTGGTTGGCATGTTGGGGCCTTGCTGCCAGCCGACCCCTGCCCGTCTACTTTGAGTTTTGGTAACAGTTTGTCGAGGAGCACCATCTTGCCCGACAGCTCCACCAGCTTCTTGTGCATCTGTTCCTCATTCTGATCCATCCATCCATCCATACATAAGTACATAAGTACATCTGCACGCCAACATGCGCATGTGTCGGCCGGTGAGTGAACGAGTGCCTGTCCGACCCACCCTGCAGAGTGCCGTTTCCTTTTCGTATATTGCGAGGCTGAGGAAAGGGTGGTTGCAGCACTTGCGCAGCTCCATCTCGACATTGGTGAAGGACCCGCCACGACGGTCGCCCCCACTCAGGAAATACATGTTCCGGTCGTATATCGCACGGTAGTACGCCTGAAGCCACCAGCACCGAGAGTCTGTCAATACCTATCTGTCCGTCCGGCTGCTTGTTGATGGGTATGGGTGCGGCATGCACACCTTTTGTCCGGCAGTGAGTTCTACATCGATTATGGTCTCCTCGAGTGGCGGGATGGAGTGCTCCACGTCCTCCTTGACGCGACGCAGCAAGTGTGGCTTCAACACCTCCTGCAAACCCGCAACCTGCACCATACACGACACACAGACAGACGAGGGAAAGTTGCGCTGTATGTGATGTACCCACACACAACGAAACCCACCTGTTCGGGCGTGGACAGGTCGCCGAATTGCTCATGGAATGCCCGTTCGTCTGCGAACTTGACTGGCTCGATGAAGTTGAGGAGAGGCCACAACTCAGCCGTGCTGTTCTGGATGGGCGTACCAGACAACAACTGCAGTCACACATACATACATACGCACAGTGTGATGGTTGATGGGTCCCAGCCAGGTACGCATGAGAAATATAAATGAATGGATGAATGGGTGAATGGATGGATACATAATACACACGCCCGTACCACAGTGTACTGGCATGGTGTGGATCTGAGCACAGAGAGCACTTTGGCCTCGCGGTTCTTCAACCGATGCGCCTCGTCTATCACAATGAACTGACACATACACAGACAAAACAAAAGACAGAACACGCATGCGTCCAACCCTCCGTCCATGGAGCAGCGGGAGGGAGGTTTGGCTGTCTGTGCGCACCTGCCATGGAATGGCTCCCAGGATGGCCTGGTCTGCGAGGAAGACCTCGTATGAGCAGATGCAGAGGTTGAACTTGAAGTGGGTCGTCTGCGTCAATGTGGGCGGCTGACCATGACTGCCCACATTATTATTCGGGTGCATCACACAGTGAAACCTGCCAACACACATTAGGATAGGGATGGAGGGTGCATTTGTCTATCTGTCGCTGCTGTGCTGACCACTCATAGTGTCTGAGTGTCTCCCGCCCTTTGGCGCCGGCCTCGTCATAGTACAGCACAACATTCATGTCAGTCCACGTCTGCAGGCACCATACACACAACACATGACATACACATATACACACATACAGACATAGATGCGACACGACTCTCAGCCTTTCAGCCTCCCTCACCTCTGCAGTGCTCCGCCAGTGCTCGAGCGTGCTGAGTGGCGCCAACACGAGGAACGGACCCGGATAGTCGTTCTCCCTAGTCATCTGCACACCAATCACGTATCCATCCATGGATGCATTGAGGCCCCTTCCCCACTGTTTGGTGCCTCACGAGGTGGTTGAGGAATGCGACGCACTGCATGGTTTTTCCGAGACCCATTTCGTCGGCGAGTATGCCGTTGCGTCCGTTGGACCAGAGGTTGAGGAGCCAGTTGAGGCCGTCCAACTGGTAGTCGAAGAGCTTGCAGTCGTTCTTGAACGGCGGGGACTCACCGTAGAAACGCGTAATGCCCGCAGGGGGCGGGAGGGGCACCTTGCTCATCGTGTGGTCCACCGCTGCCTGTATTCAGTGATGCCAATCAATTCATCGCCACACCACACATCCAAATCGGAGACATACATAATCTTCGTGCGTCTCTCTCTCTCTCTCTCTCTCATCTTTCCTTGTCTTTGTGTCTCTGTGTGTTGCGCATTGCGTACCTTGGTGAACCAGCCCTTGACGGCGCGTCCCCGGCCCTCCAGGAAGGCTGTGGCGACCTTGGCCTGCATGAGGGTGTCGCGCTGGATGTCCTGCCCAGCCATCTGCTGCCCAGCCATCTGCTGTCGAGCTTGCGCCACCTGATGCCACGCGGGCGGCTGGTGCTGCGCAGGCACGTACTCACGACCAGAGGACCCCCGAACCATCTGGTGTGGGGACAACTGCATGGCCTGATGGTGCATGGGCCGCGGGATGACCCCCATGCCCCGCGATGATCGGTCGATGGGGGCGAGGGGTGGGTTGAAGCCCTGGGGTGGCGGGGCACACGGCCCTGGGCCCGACCGCCGCACCTGCCCTCCCCGCCCACCCGACTGCGGCCCGTTGGCCAGACCGATCTCGACGTCGCCACCAGTATGAGCAAACGACGGCGGAGGCCCCCCGGCCTGCGAGAATGGTGAGACGCCACTCAACTGCTGAGGCGCCCCCGGCATCGCCGTGAGACCTTGGGGTGAAGGTGGGGGTGGCGGTGGTGGTGGCGAGGCATCCATCGTGGCGGCGCCCGTAGGAGCCGAGGGCATCTGTGTCTGGTTGGTTGAGTTGGTGCTGATGCTCTCGTTGGCGGCCTCACCCACAGAGGGGGACCCGTGTGGAGCAGATGGCGGGGCAGGGGGCGGCTGTCCACCCGCTGGCTGACCGTCGGGGGGGCCGCCATTGCCATTACCATTGCCGCCAGTGGCGGGCTCACCGCCCTCACAATTGTCGATGACTCTCTTGAGGTCTGCTGGTGACTCTGCTGGCCGTGGTGGTGGTGAAGGGTGATGCGAAGCAGGCGGCATGGCGACGCGCACAACTCGACTGGCAAGACGTGCGGGCAGGGGACAGGCAAGCACACCCAGGGCGACGGGCGGGATGGGCGGATGGACGTCGGGTGTGTGACGGGAAGCCTCGGCCTCCGACGGCCCGCCTCCCTCACACATGTCTCCAGCCGCCTCCCCCTTGACCTCTGGCTTGATGGCCCCCGACCCACCGTCCTCCTCACTGTCGCCGTCATGCTGGCCTTCGGGTTGCTCCCCCTGCTCTTCCTGCTTGACCACGCCGTTGGTCTGCAGGCCATGCTCCTGCTTGGGTGCGGTGATCTCAGAGAGCATCTCCTGGGGACCAGCACTGGTGGGGCTCTTGATGAAGCCACCCACGGCATTGTCCATCGTCACGCCCGGTGGGGGCCGGACAAGCGGCACGCGCGGCGGGTACTGCGGAAAGCCGGGTGGCTGCTGGTGCTGCGGTTGGTGTTGGGGTGGGACGTTCTGAGTGGTGGTGGTGAAGTTGGGTAGGACGGGGGATCGGAAGATGTGATGTGCCTGTGCGACGCTTGGCACTGGTCCGCGGTGCGGGGGGGACTCCCGACGGGCGGCCAATGAGGGATGGTAGATGGCCTGGGCATTGGGGGGAGGCCCCGACACACCTGACCATGTTGCACAGACAGACAGACAGACAGAGGAAGGAAGGAAGCAAGGAGATGGACGGCTTGGCTTCAGATGGGTGAGATCAGATGGGTGAGGCACGTACCTGGAGGGAGCATTCTGGGGACTGATCCCATCTGGTATGCGGGCCGGTGCTGCTGCTGTGGCGGGGGCCGGTAGTACTCCGGGTGCAGCTCTCTCATGGCCCTCTCGATGAGGTCCCTCATGTCCCTCTTGAACGTCTCCTGCTTGCGCACCAGGTCGGCCCCCCGCCCATCCCTGCTCCGAGTGCCCAGGTTCTCCACATTAGCGTGCCGATGGAAGTCGGCTATCTTGGCCGCCTCCTCGGGAGTCGGACTGTCCAAAGGCTCCCATGTCGACTCAGTGTAACTCAAACCCTGGATGGAGGCAGCCCACACAAGCGACGTGTGTCTCCAAATGGGTGTCTCGCCATGTTTTTTGGAGGTTGGGGTCACCTTCCACTTGACCAGGTACAGTTGCGTGCGTTCCTTCACGAGGAGTCCCACGAATGTGATGTGCTGGATGGCCTCGGCCTCCGTGATGCCTTTGTAATCCTCGACATACGCCGGACTCTGATGACCAGACAAACAGCCAACCCACAGACAGACAGACAGACAGCCAGGCAGACGGACAGAGAGGCATCATCCGCATGTGTGCACGAATGGATGGATATAGGTGTCTGTGCAAGTACTTACGTTGTCAGGGATTTGACCGGGGATGCCCGAACGCGAGACCTCAGACCACTCGCCGTACAGCTGATCCATCAAATGAGGCACAAGGCACACAGAGAGACCAACAACAAAGTGCTCGATGAACGGATGCGCGGCTTCATTCGCGTGCCTTGTCGAAGAGTGCCTTGAGGAGTCTGCATTTGGTGGCAACGTCGCCCTGTGGGCTGTTGTACTCGTGGCACGCTGTCCATACCTTCTGCACGTCGTTCCAGAAGTCCTAGTGAACAAACAACACCCGTCTACGTCCACCCACAAGCCATGTGTTCCTCATCGGTCTCTCCGTACCTGCGGCTTCTCGTACACGCGTCTGTAGAGGCGCCCCTGTATTGTTGTGAAGTCCATGGGGAACTTGACCACGCTAAAGTAGTCGGGCGCTCCGTCGTACTCGGGGTCCACCGGACGATGAAACGGGATGCCGTAGTACACCTATACAAGAGAGCAAGGTAGGGTCGCGGCATGGACACGCTGTTCCTTCCTCTCGCGTCAGACGCCCCTGAGTGACTCACCCCGCTTCGTTCAAACGTGACGAGGGCATCAATGATTCTGAGGCAGTACATTTCCCAGTCGGCGCGTTCGAGGTGTGCGGACCGGTTGGGGTACATGGCCCTGTGCATGTCGGTGCAATCGAGAATGCGTTCGACGACAGGGCAGTCGACGGCGGGGTCTTCCTCCTCGCCCTTCTCCTTGATGCGCTTGATGTACCGCAGGAAGCGAATGCGCTTGTTGCGGTCCCCGTCCTCCGCCACCTCCTCGTACGGAAACCACTTGGCGTGCAGATACGACTGATTCGTGAACTTGACTGCACCGACCATCACACATCCATTCACACATCATTCAATACACGCACCGATCGATGATCAGTGGTTGTGTTGTGCTGTGTTGTGTTGTGTGGGTGGTCTCAGTGGGGCAGGTAGGTACCTAGGTACTCGAAGTCGTTTTCCTTGTGGTGGTGGTGGTGCAGCTCGCCTGGCTGGACAGCGACAGCCTTGACGCCAGGCTTGAGGCGCCTCTTGAGGAACTTTTCGACGAAGGGAGGCACGATGACGGGCAGGGGCTCCTCGACGGCCTCCTGCCCCTCCTTGGTGTCCTCCTCACTCTCCCCATCCTCCTCGGGCTCCTCGGTGTAACCCTTGTAAGATCTGACATACAATATGACACACAACACATAGACAGACAGACAGACACCGATGTGGGTTTGAAGTGCGTCGAGATGGGCACATCTCGATTGCATACGTGGGCGCTTTCTTCAGCCGGCTGCTTTTCCGTGGCGGCTCTCCGTCGCCCTTCTTGGGCACTGCCGAGTGCGCGAAGTCCGAATCGTTGGAGTCATCTGAACGCACGCACATGTGTGTCACAGATGCACACAAGGAGGAATGAAGGCGAGATCAACGCCTAGCTGTGTCGCTGTCTCACCCGAGTCGATTTCGTCACTGTCAGCGTGATATCTCCCTCTGCGACGGCTCATTTCACGTTGGAGTGCTTCCGTTCATACGTATGCGTTCTAACTCTCACGGCGCCATCTCCAAAGAAGGATCTCCTACTCCTCCCTTCTTTGGTTTGTTACGAGGGACACTGACGCTCTAACCCAAGAGCACTTCACAGAGCCGCTGCACCCCGCTGAGGACAGCCGTTTCGTTTGCAGCACTCCGGGATACACAATAGAGCCCTGGGTAGATGGCGCTGTTCGACGATGATGACCCGCCGATGCTCGCAGCTGGCGTCGGTGAGAGAGACGAACGCACACACACTACTGTTGTGTTTGGTCGCTCTCTTCCAACGCCATTCAGGCAAACGAACGCGAAGTGCCAGCGGAGGTCATGAATCAGGTGATGATGATCTCGAGATCGCAGAGGCGCCAAAGCGGCTAAGACCTCCCCCTCGCAACAAGAAGCCGTCTCCTACTGAACCATCCTCCCAGGCAGCAGGTGGAACCGCAGCAGGAGGGGGGGCTCGGCCATCGCGGCCAGGGCGTTGCGGGAGTGGTGGTGATGACTTCGACTTCGACGCGCTGCTCGAGAAAGCGATAACATCGCCCGAGTGAGTCAGTGAGGGCGAGTGATTCAGTGAGCGGCGGGGAAGGCACGAGGGGCAAGACCTGAGCCAGATGCTCATTGGAAGCTGTGGTGGGTCATGTGGCTGCCTGCAGGCCTTGTGCGTCGACCGATGCCCCTGCGCCCGACGAAACCATCAGGTGGGCAGGGCGAGCTCGGTGCAGGCAATGCACGGGCACGATTGATTCATTCCCGCCTGCCTGTCTGTCACCAGTCTGGCGCTTGACATTGCGTGGCCAAGTGGGCTTTCTGGGCCGCGCAGGCAGACTATCAAAATAAGGAAGGCACGCGAGTGACTTGCCTGTGGCTCACTGATCCATCCATCGATGTGTCCACTCTTCCCCTCTCCTGCCAGGCTGTGACCTTTGGTGCTCTGAAGCAGAGGCTGGTGAGGTCGCGTCTGCTGAGGCAGAGGGGCATCTCTGAGAGTGTGCTGCACCGCATGCGCTTCTCGTGCGACGGACAACTAATTGGAAATCTCTCCACACTTATCGGTGAGTGAAGACCCGCACCCCACCACGGAGCAGGGCAGCACCACAACACAACACATCTCGTCTGCCTTGTTGTGATCGGCTGTCTGCATGGGTAGGCGATCCCGATATCGGTCTGAGTGACGGTGAGCAGATTGACGTGAGCTTCGACCCACTAGCAACTTCGCCAGAGAGGCGGCGCGCGCAGATATCCCAAGTAAGTACATAGCCAGGAAGGACTTGTCACATCAGCAGGGAAGTGTTCCTCCGTGGTGGTTTTGTGCAGCCTGTTTGTGGCGGGGCGGCGGCGTCGCCGAGAGGTGAAAGAGAGGTGATTGAACTCGATTGATTGATGAATGGATGGGATGGATGGATCGGTGGGTTGGGGCTGTGTTGGGTTGGGGGTTGCTGATCCGGCAGAAGGGCTGCATGTATCCGTGTACATGTACCTCTCCGCGTGTGAATGTGCAAGTGTACATTAAGTGCTGCCATCCATCCATCCATCCCTCCATTGGGCCTGTGTGCAGTGTAAAGGACTCTTCGCGCATGTGGACGACTGTGTGGTGTTTGGTGTTTGTCTGACTGATAGATCGATGGATTGATTCATTCATTGTTGCCCTGTTCGTTCATCACGGTATAATTGCACGTCGTCGTTGCTGGAAAAGTCGAAGATCCACAGAGAAACACACAGGTCGATGGCTGCCCGAGGAACAGCAGGGCAGATGGTACATACGCCGACAGATGGACACACACCCACATTAGCAGAATGGATGCACATAGACGTGAGCATCGCGCCCCAGACCCCTTGGGGCTCAAAACTGGCACGTACAAGCATCGACCAGATGTGTGTAAAAAGTGAGTTGATCGGTGGGTGAGTGTACACAGCAAAACACGTGCGTCAGCCAGCCAGCCAGCCAGCCACAGCCAGGGTGTGCATGGCAAGCGTGTATACGTACGTGCTCTGCCATCCTGCCTGCCTCCCACGGTGTCTATCGATAGAGGCAGCACGGCAGCAGAGAGGTCCGCAAAAAGACCAACCAGCCCGCTGGGGCGTAAGATACCAATACAGACGGCCATCCGTCGGGCGCTTTACACACAAGAAGTAGGGAAAAACAGTGGGGATGGCACTGGATGAATGTATGGATGGACAAACAAGAGACGAACAGCACCAGCTCTCTCGAATTGTCGGTCGGTAAGTAGGCAGGCAGGCAGGCAGGCAGGCAGATGTGGATAAAAGTCGCTGTGTCCGTACGTCGTTGTGAGTGTGTGGGTGCGGTGCGATGGATGCACGAACGCATGAACATGTATCTGAGAAAGAGCGAGGCAGGCCACGCAGGCAGGCACTAGGTTGGTAATCTTTCTCGTCTGGCCAGCCTCCGTTTCCAAGGCATGCATCCGTCCACACCGACTAGTCAGACAGACCGAGACAGCACGGCCAGCAGCAAGTCAGGACACTCGACTCATCAGTCACCCAGATTGTATCCATCCATCCACCCACTTGCCTTCCTCTCCAGCTCGCTCAGGATCGACCGGTCGATCATCACTCCACGGAAAAATGCACTCCGCGCTCAGTGCATACATCCCATTGTGCCATTCCCCCTGCCTCTCGGGGTGTGTGGCCACCCACTATCTTGACAACATTCCATCCTCTCTCCCATGCTTCATCCGTCAGTGCGCTAGCTACGGCCTATGCGATCCGTCCCGTTACGTCCATATGTACAGGCACCACACACCACACGAATGAGGAGAGAGGTTCCACACCATACGCATACACGCAGACAGGCATACACGCAGACAGGCAGACAGTCAGGCAGAGGGTCGGGTAGGTAGGTGGGTAGGTACAGACAGACAAACCGAGTTGTCCACTCATCCACTCCCTTTAGACAAACGCAAACATCACACCAGCCAGCCAGACAGACAGGTCTGTCTGGCCCTGTCTGTCTGGCGGACAGGCAGACTACATGGTCGGTCTGGGTTGGCCAATGGATGGCCACTTCCCCCGTCTGCAGCATGTATGTGGGTGGCATGGATGTGGTAGAAAGTGTATCTCATGGATCTATCCACCCCTCCATCCCTCCCATGCCGTCCCATGCCACGCCACGACATCACATGACGATGGTGCCAGATGTGTGTATGCTGTTGTTGATGCCCTTGTGCGGGAGGATGAACGCACCGTTGATGTAGCACTCCTTGTTGATCTGCACGTCCTGGCCAACCACCGTCAAACCCTCTATCCGCACCTGAACCAAAACGACACAAGAAGGTCATTGTGGGTTGGTACGTATGGTTGGTGGACTGACTGACCGACCCATTTGCCGACGGTCGACTCCCAGCCCAGAATCGAGCTGTCGATCCACGAGTACGACCGCACCGTCACACCTGCGGACGCACCCGGGGAGGACCATCCATCCATCAATGCATCCATCCCCCTACTCTCCCATGCTTTCGGTCTCTCACCTTCCATGAGAGCCGACCTCTGGATCCTCACACCTACATGTACAACGCACGCAGGGGGCAACACAGCACAGCAGAGAGGATGTGCCATCCGTGCCTTTTCTCGCCCGGTAGAGTGTGTCAATGTGTCAGTTACCGTCGTCGATTCTGCAGTTGGGTCCGATGGTGACGTCGGGGCCGATCAGACACCCGTCGCCGATCGTCGCTGACTCGGACTGATCCATCCATACACACACATCAATCAAAACCACACGCACATGAACCCGTTCGAAAGGGTGCCTGCTGTGTCGTTGTGGCTGACCACGAGTACGTTGCCGATGAACTTGTCCCCCTTGGCGAGCTTCGGAATCTCGTCATCCTGACCACAATCACACACACAACACCACATCGATCCTACGCTGACGCACGTATGCGCACATGCGTGTCTGTCAGGTTGTGTGTCTTACGTGTTCGATTTGTCCCTTTTTCCACTTTTTGTCGACGCTGTCGAGGTAGAGGTGCATGCCCTTGAGGAAGTCCTTCGGCTGCCCAATGTCAGCCCTGAACCAACCAACACATACGCACACATGACAACCAGTATGTTGGCGCGCGTCGTCGTATTATCTCCTGATAGGTCACCAGTAACCCTGGAGCTTCATGCGGTAGAGGGCGCCCTCAGCCGCCATGACGGGGAACACCTCCTTCTCTATCGACGTCGGCCGGGGCTGCACATACACAAGAAAATGCAGTCATGCACATGACACGAATGGGGGCGGTGTGCTGGGTGACTGACCTCGATGCGGTCGATGATGGATTTCCTGAATATGTACAGCCCCGCGTTGATGCAGTCGCCAACAAACTCCTTGGGCTTCTCTGTGGCATAACCGGCACGGCAGGGACAGAGAGAACGACAATGGATCAATCAAGGAGAGGGACCGGTACACACAAGAGTGGTGGGTAAATGGCTGGCTGGCTGGCTGACCGACGAATCGCTCTATCTTGCCGTCGTCCTCCGCCACCACCACACCATACTTTGACGGATCATCCACCTTCGTCACCTGTACACCACACCAGAGACCGAATGTGGTCGTATCGTGTGTAGTGTGTTGGTGCCACCGCCGGGGTGTCTGACCAGTATGGTTCCCTCTTGTCCGTGTTTCTGGTGGAATGCGATCATTTCCTTGAGGGGGAACTCACAGATGACGTCGCTGTTGCACACGAAGAACGAGTCAGAGTCGTCCCCATTCTCCACTATCAGATCCTTCGCCAGCCGAATCGGACCAGCTGACCAAATGCACACGCCATCACACAAACAGACAGACAGACAGACATTATCAATGAGATGCCATTAGCGGCATCCAAGCCCTTTGTGCAGACCTGTGCCGAGCGGCTCCTCTTCCCTCGAGCACGTGATCCGAATGCCGAACTAACGAACAAACAACGCACACCGCAGAGAAAATAGGTGCCTGCTGCAGTGAGTGGCTGTGTGGGTTGGTGTCTGGTCACCTTGCTCTCGAGGTGGTGGAGGGCATCTATCATGGCGTCGGGCTGATACGCCACTGCCAAGATGACGTGGTTGACACCCGCTTGCTGCACACACCACCAGACGAAATAACAGCACATCTGTTCTTCCCTGCCTCCCGTTTCCCTCGGCATTGCGTGCCTTGGCTGCCTTGCCTCGCCTCTGCGTGTCCGTGTGCGGCTGCGTACGTTGACGAGTGCTTCGATTTGGTGTTCGACGATAGACTTGTTGCAGAAGTGGATGAGGGGCTTTGGCACCGACAGCGTCAAAGGCCGCAGCCGCGTGCCGTAACCGCCAACCAGGATCAACGCCTTGGTCATCTGGACGACTTCGCTCCCTGTCGAGCCGGGAGTGCTTGCAAGACTTGTTGCAGGCACACGTTGCCCAGTCGCTACGTGGGAGGTGTGAAGCACGTCAAACCCACAGATCTTGAATCTGTGAAACCCTTTATGAGATGGTTGACTTACACGGAAGCATGGGCGACTTTATCGGCTAAGCTTGCAGACGCGGTGAAGGAAGTGGGCTGCCAGTGAACGAAGTAGGGATCAGTAGATGCTTGAGCTGCAGGGACCAGATGTCTTCTGGCAAGCAATTTGGGGAATGCACGTAGACATGCGAAGACACTAGACAGCTCTCTCTACCAGCCTCTCTCGGATAAGATCAGTGACGGCTCGCTCTCCGCGACTGCTATGCTTCTACGGGCCTTCACAGGGGGTGCAAGTCACGAATCGAATGAGCCGTTGGAAGGCGCGATCTGCGTCCGTGCGTTTTGGCGGTAACTGAAATCCTTTCCCGTTACCGCCCCTTTCTCGCGGTGCTGTCTTGCTGCGAAAGGCCGGCCATCCTCCCGCTACCGAGTTCAACAACGTCCACATTGCCATCAATCAGCACCAAGACCATGATGAAGCTGGCGTGCTGCGTCGTTTTGATCCTGGCAGTGACTCCTGCTCTCGCGCGTGACCTTAGGGTGAGTGAGGCCTGGCCAGCCGTACTTGCGTACGTGCGTTGTCTGCTTCTCCTCTACCCCGTGTTTGCTCGTTTTGTTGCTGTCTGTCATGTGCTGTGCCTCTCTTGTGTGCAGGGCCTTCAGCCGGCCAATGCCACGGAGGAAGGTCAGCAATGCACTGCAGGCAGTCACCGTGTCTTTTTATGAGAACGACTTTGTATCACTCCACAGCCCTCCAATCACCATAAATGTTTGGTTCTATGCGTGTGGCTCTGTGTATTTGGTCTTGTATGTACAGGTCGTTCGTGCTGCTGGTCGTGCTCATGGAAGCACGACTGCTGGCTGGAGTGTGGGTGGGCGCACTGCCACTGCAACGATATGAGCCACTGCAACGATGACGATTGGTCCGCCGCCCGCGTCCGCAAGGCCTGCGAACAGATACTCGCCGAAGCCAAAGCCATAGACGGTGAGAGAGGGAGAGGGAGACAAACAAGCAAGCAGACAGACAGACAGACAGACAGACAGAGAGGGAACGACCCATGCCCGAACGTGTGCCGTGTGTCTTAATCTGTTGTCATGTGCGCCTGTTGTCTGTCACGTGTGCAGCTGAGGACGATGATGCCGATGATGACGACAATGAGGACGCTCCAAAGTGCTGCTGGGACTGCACCTGGTACGCAGTCACCTACAATGTGTACACCGACCGGTGCACACAGACAATTCCCTCCTGGTCCTTGCACATGACTGCAGGTGGAACAAGCCCTGCTGGATGAACTGCACCATGGGCTCGTGCTGGCGCGACAACAACAACAACAACAACAACAACAACGACCACGAGGAGCGTGAGCCAGCGTCGATGCCGCCCAACCAGCAGCAGGCCGTCAAGGAGTGCCAGTCGCTCCTGGCCATGCCGGCCGACAACCAGTGAGGGAGCGACGGAGCGAGGGAAGTTTTGTGAATGCTCATGTTGCTGACTGCGCTTGAAGGGGTGTGTGGTGTGATGTTGCGTCTAAGAAAGGCGGGATGGGTGTATTTGTTGGTTGGTCGCGTGGCCGGCTGGCTGGCTGGCTGGATGGTCCGTGTGTCATGTGAAGATGAAGCTTGATTGCTCGCCAAGTTCCGTTGGTGTTGATTTTCTGCTGGCGTGGGTGGCTCGCTGGCGGTGCCGTGCGTTTTCTTCCCTTTCCCGCCGTTGGCTGTTGATACTTATTCTTATCTTACGCGTGCAATGTGCTTTTGTTTGTTCATCCGTACATGGACGCTTTCTTTGTTTGTTCTTGTCACACACGTGGTCATACCCATGACATCTGCAACCATGTGGAAACATGCTGACAGCAGGTTCCCCTTCGCATCCACCGTTCAGCTTTTTTCTGTCTAAGTCTGTCTGAAGACCTACGGTGAATCTATATGTTTTTCGTTTGTTTGAGAGGCTCTTTGTGCTTTTTATCGTCCCCCTCTTTCTTTGTGTTTTTCGGTATTGGCAAACTGGCAAATTAGTGACTTTTCACTGCAATGGGTGAATGCGTGTATGCGTAGATGCATGTGTTGGTGCGTGCTCGTGGCGGTGGGGCATCACATGTGGTGGACATCTCGCCTGTTTGTGTGAAGGATGTCCTTCACCTGTATGGACGCAACCACCTCTCTCCTCCGATGAATCCATTCACGCATCCGCGACCGTCCATCCATGCATGCACCACACCAAAACAATTATAGCCAACAACCATACGATGATCCGAATGAGTGTTCTGTATTATTAATATTATATTATTAACAGTGTTGAAAGTAACGGGGTCAAGGGGGTCAAGATTTGGGGTCTAAAATCGACGACCAGGGTCAGAAAGCCTCGTAGGGGTCACCACAGGGGTCAAAAAATCGCCATTTGAAGCCAAGCGTGTGTTTTTTCTGCAGAAAACAAGGCGATTCCCCGAGGTGAGGGATCACAACAAAAAGAGAGGAGTCATATTTGAGGTCAACTTACTGTCGGGAGGGTCTGCCATGGGGCCACCTTTCAATCCTTACTTTAAACACTACTACTACTACACACGCACTGGTCGGCACCTGCCCATCCCCACCCCAATGTGTCGTTCGTTCGGCATCCATCACGCAGACTGACATGTGGATGAATGACTCACCTGACAGGCCCGCCGCTTGGAGGTGTGTGCTGGCATTCTGGTGAGTAGGGGCCGGCGGGGCGATGTCAGTAGCTCTAATACTTGGATGTGTCGACGTCACTGAACCACTGAAATGACGCGTGTGTGTGAGACATCACCACTGCCCTCTTATGTATTTTGCACCCGTAGAAGGCTCCATCGAGCCATGTTCTTGGTGCATGTCGTTCCGCGACATCTGGAGGGAAGTGGGGACGCGCAAGTGATCCACGAACTCGTGGAAAGTGGTGAATTCTGTCCTCGACTGGACCAGGTGCAGTAGCTGATGTGGCGCACTGTGTGGCGCGCCGTTGGCAGCCCTGTGCCAATGCCTGAGACTCCTCTTGACTGAGTCTCCTCCAATGCGCGTCGCGCTGGAACGATTCACGTCGGGAGTCTGTCCAATGTGGATATCATTCTAACGGGCTGCCCACACGAATTTCTGTACACCTGTGGACCGGCGACACCTGTGTTCTCGTGTGTGTGTGTGTTTGCTGCAGCACACCAGTCTGGTGTGCCGGGTGTTTCCTGGAACGAGAATACCCAGGCCTGGGTGGCTTCCTGGTGGGAGAAGGCTGACGGCAGGCATAAGCACAAGACCTTCTACGTCAAGGAGCACGGCGACAAGGCCAAGGTAACCACTTAATCGGCTGAACTTCATGCTGTTATGTCAGCCTCATGTTGCACCTGTATGTATGTATGTATGTCAGGCGTTGGCTGAGGAGCACCGTCTCGAGATGGTGGCCACCGGGCGAGCGGCTGTGCAGAAGCCGGCTGAGCACCAGTGCGGCGTCAGGGGCGTCACCTACGACAAGAGCACCAACAGTTGGCGGGCCAAGTGGAAGGAGGGCGGCGACGAGGAGGCCAAGCAGATGGCCATCGCACACCGGCGGGCCATGGAGAGGCTGCACTATCGATTTGACAGGGGGGGCGTTGAGATGCCCGTAGAGGAGCGCCCAAGGAAGAAGAGGAGGAGGAGGGGAGAGTGATGGAGGGTTGTCTATTGTAGCTCATCATGTTGATACATTGGCTTGACAGATTGTACAGATATGGGGGAGAGTGAGGGAGGGTTGTCTATTGTAGCTCGGCTGAGAAGGTGGAGGGCGGCGGCAAACAGGGTGACATCAGCGTGTACGCTGGAGTGATCAAACCAAGCGCTGTGTCTGGCGAATTTGAGTGCTGGGAGGAAGAAGAAGAAGAGGAAGAGGGAGTGAGTGAGGGTTGTTGGCTGTAGCCCATGATGTTGATAGATTGGCTTGACAGATTGTACAGATATGGGGGAGAGTGAGGGAGGGTTGTCTATTGTAGCTCGGCTGAGAAGGTGGAGGGCGGCGGCAAACAGGGTGACATCAGCGTGTACGCTGGAGTGATCAAACCAAGCGCTGTGTCTGGCGATTTTGAGTGCTGGGAGGAAGAAGAAGAAGAGGAAGAGGGAGTGAGTGAGGGTTGTTGGCTGTAGCCCATGATGTTGATAGATTGGCTTGATACAAGACACGCTTAACGGACCTCCGTTGCTGGCAATATACACCCCATTGCCGTCGGTGACCTCCATTGCTGGCAACGGACCTT